ACCTGCAACAACCCCCCTACACCTGCAACAACCCCCCATACACCTGCAACAACCACCCTACACCTGCAACAACCCCCTACACCTGCAACAACCAACCCCTACACCACCCCCCCTACACCTGCAACAACCAACCCCCTACACCTGCAACAACCCCCCCTACACCTGCAACAACCCCCCCTACACCTGCAACAACCACCCCTACACCTGCTACACAACAACCCCCTACACCTGCAACAACCACCCCTACACCTGCAACAACAACCCCCCTACACCTGCAACAACCTGGCAACAAACCCCCCCTACACCTGCAAACCTGCAACAACCCCCCCTACACCTGCAACAACCACACCTGCAACCCCCTACACCTGCAACAACAACCCCCCTACACCTGCTACACCGCAACAACCCCCCTACACCTGCAACAACCCCCCTACACCTGCAACAACCACCCCTACACCTGCAACAACCCCCCCTACACCTGCAACAACCCCCCTACACCTGCAACAACCAACCCCCTACACCTGCACCCCTACACCTGCAACAAAACCCCCCCTACACCTGCAACAAACACTACACCTGCAACAACACCTGCAACAACCCCCCTACACCTGCAACAACCACCCCTACACACCTGCAACAACCCCCCTACACCTGCAACAACCCCCCTACACCTGCAACAACCACCCCTACACCTGCAACAACCCCCCCTACACCTGCAACAACCCCTACACCTGCAACACCTGCAACAACCCCCCTACACCTGCAACAACCCCCCTACACCTGCAACAACCCCCCTACACCTGCAACACAACCAACCCCCCTACACCTGCAACAACCCCTACACCTACCCCCCCTGCAACAACCCCCCTACACCTGCAACAACCACCCCTACACCTGCACAACCCCCCTACACCTGCAACAACACCCCTACACCTGCAACAACCCCCCTACACCTGCAACAACCACCCCTACACCTGCAACAACCACCCCTACACCTGCAACAACCCCCTACACCTGCAACAACCACCCCTACACCTGCAACAACCCCCCTACACCTGCAACAACCACCCCTACACCTGCAACAACCCCCCTACACCTGCAACAACCCCCCCTACACCTGCAACAACCCCCCTACACCTGCAACAACCACCCCTACACCTGCAACAACCCCCCTACACCTGCAACAACAACCCCCTACACCTGCAACAACCACCCCTACACCTGCAACAACCCCCCTACACCTGCAACAACCACCCTACACCTGCAACAACCCCCCTACACCTGCAACAAACCAACCCTACACCTGCAACAACCCCCTACACCTGCAACAAACCTACCCTACACCTGCAACAACACCCCCTACACCTGCAACAACCCCCCCTACACCTGCAACAACAAAACCCCCCTACACCTGCAACAACCCCCCCTACACCTGCAACAACCCTCCTACACCTGCAACAACCCCCCTACACCTGCAACAAACCCCCCTACACCTGCAACAACCCCCCCCTACACCTGCAACAACCCCCCTACACCTGCAACAACCCCCCTACACCTGCAACAACCCCCCTACACCCTGCAACAACCCCCCTACACCTGCAACAACCCCCCTACACCTGCAACAACCCCCCTACACCTGCAACAACCCCCCTACACCTGCAACAACCCCCTACACCTGCAACAACCACCCCTATACCTGCAACAAACCCCCCTACACCTGCAACAACCCCCCTATACCTGCAACAACCCCCCTACACCTGCAACAACCCCCCTATACCTGCAACAACCCCCTACACCTGCAACAACCCCCCCTATACCTGCAACAACCCCCCCTATACCTGCAACAACCCCCCCTACACCTGCAACAACCTCCCCTACACCTGCAACAACCACCCCTACACCTGCAACAACCCCCCCTACACCTGCAACAACCACCCCTACACCTGCAACAACCTCCCCTACACCTGCAACAACCCCCCTACACCTGCAACAACACCCCCCCCCACACCTGCAACAACCCCCCTACACCTGCAACAACAACCCCCCCCACACCTGCAACAACCCCCCTACACCTGCAACAAACCACCGTTACAATATGGACATCAACAAAGGCTGAGAAAAAGACGTTGTTTTGCTTCACTTTTATTGTGTTATAATTGGTATATATATATATGTATATATATATATATATATATATATATATATATATATATATATATATATATATATATATGTATATATATATATATATATATATATATATATATATATATATATATACGTGGCTAGGGAAAGGGAGAGAGAGAGAGGAGAGGGAGAGAGAGAGAGAGAGAGAGAGAGAGAGAGAGAGAGAGAGAGAGAGAGAGAGAGAGAGAGAGAGAGAGAGAGAGAGAGAGAGAGAGAGAGAGAGAGAGAGAGAGAGAGAGAGAGAGAGAATGACAGCACAAAGCGAGTGATATCTTAAAAACTATAAAATGTATATATACGATCATTAGACATAATATCGTAGAGGAAGCCTTCTTACGATATCTGCTATCGTAAGCTAAGTGGACAGGTGTAGTATTGATATATAGCACTCGCAGGTGTATATATATACATTTTTTGTCACCTTAGAATTATAGTACATTGAATAATGATTCTGCTAGCGTATTAATGAGTGTGTGTGTGTGTGTGTGTGTGTGTGTGTGTGTGTGTGTGTGTGTGTGTGTGTGTGTGTGTGTGTAGAGTATCTTAAAGCAGTGAACAAGAGCTATAACCAAAATTTATATTCATTTGCAACACTATGAAAACTCCTTCGATAGACTTGCGTTATCACGCGGTCACAACGATAACATTTTACGATGTTCTTGCTATCTTCACCTTAAGTCATCACTTCCACCATCCCCACTATCACCATCACCACCATTTCAGCGTTCTTATTTGCATCTTTATATGTTGATTCTCCTTTTCTCCTCCTCATTTCCTTCCTCTTTCTTCCCTTTACTCTCTTCTTCCCATTTCCCTTCTCTTCTCGTATTCTAATATATGACCACACTCTCAGGTTTCTACTCTACCTCTCACCCTTTCTACTCTACCTTACATTCACTGGGAGAGAGAGAGAGAGAGAGATATTTACGTGGATGTGAAAATATTTTAAGATTTCTCTAAAATCCTTTTTTATCATCTTTATGGCCATTATTCCATATTTATTCTTCTCTGCGCTCTGCACCCTTAGAACTTCGTTATTCCATTTCCCTGTTCTATAGCGTGGCAGTAATTTGTTTTAGAGTCACATTTCTTGTAACCAACCACCACCAATTTTCTTCCATACCTGTCTCTCTATTTCAGCCTGAAATTGCATCAATAACCACCTTCTATAACCTTTATCCCTGATTACTATCATCAACATCACCCTAACCCGGTCTACTACCACCACCGAATCTACTACGACAATCGCTAACGCCGCTTACGTGCTCAGAAAGACAGTCAGCTTAATAACAACGGCGTCGTTGTTGATGTAGTTGCGGGATCGAAGTGTCTCCTTCGTGAACCCGAGGCCAACGCATTCGTAGTTGTCGCCCGAGCCGGGCCGCCTCCAGTGCCAGCCGGAGCAGAGTTGAGTCGGGTCCCAGATGCGGCTGGTCAGGTCCTCTGGGTCGAAGCCGTGGTCCAGAATGTTAATTCTGTGCTTGAGTTTGAAGGGCCAGTCAAGCGTGGAGTCGTAGTCACCTGAGGCAGAGAGAGAGAGAGATAGAGGGTATTTTTAGAGTGGTTATCTTGGGGATGGGGTGGAGGATTGGCGGGGGGAAATACACGGGGTTAGTTAATAGTGTATATCAGGGCTCTATCCCAGAGTATCGGGTGCTCTGTCCCACGGTATCGAGGCTCTAACGTTTCGGTGTAATTTTGATACCCGTTCGAGCTCTGAGCACTATCTCCTTCCCTGATGACCAACTCTTACGCGAGGTGCTGAAAGCTACGAGAGGATTTGTGACTGCGACTTATTCAAATGTGAGTCGCATGAAGACCCACCTGAATAGCCTGGCATGATGAAGAGGAACAAAGCACGCAGTGAAGCAAGCTACTGATGCTTTAATTGAACCAATAAATGACTGATGTTCATTCAGACGAGTGCTGAGAGAAGGATGATCTATTCCCTCACACCTTCCTCCTTTTTATATAATATAGCACTACGTTTTCAACCTTCCATATTTCTAGAATAGTGCCTAACTTTTTTATTTTATTTTATTGTATGTGCTTGACTTTGGCTCACTCAGCTCCTAACATTCTTTTAAGATGATAGAAAATAATTTGCCAGAAACTCATGCCAGTATACATGGTGGATTTTATACAGTCAGTTCTCTGAGTGAATGGACTTTACTCTCCCAGGAAATGTATGCAAGTTTTCGGTGATGCTAAATGCTATCACCAGGAGGAAATTTATTCATACACACACACACACACACTGAGTTTCAAGGCGTTATACGACAAAGAGTACTGGGAAGACGGGACACCACGAGCGTAGCTCTCATGCTGTAACTAAACTTAGGCAATTATACTTGGGTAATTACACACACACACACACACACCCTTCAGAACTCTGCCCCCACACTCATACACACACTCATTAATGCCACAGTGCAGTTTAGAATGTGGCTTTAATCGAAAGATAAGTGAAATGTTTAATAATTATTCTTAGTTATCGAAAAATTACCTTTGAAAAAATACTTCTCTCTCTCACTGTCTCTCACAACTTACCCTCAGTTAATCCAACATGAACGTAGACATTCTCTCCTCTGTGGTTAGGATAAATCCTCATATACATCCTGTATCCTTCCTGGAAGACGTAGAAGCTCTCGGACCTGAGGGAGCGTTGCCTGCCCCAGTTACTCATCTTGTAGTTAATGTCCCCGACTCGCCAGTAGTAAGTGAACACCCTCCACCCATCCTCTCGATGCATCGTCGAGTTGAAGTGGTAGATCTCTGTCTGGCGGGGACTCTGCTCCTGAGGGAGGGGCAAGAGGGGGGTAGATTAGTGGGAAGGTAGATGACCTGGAATGGTAGAGTGTGTTGATGTATGTACTCCTGAGGGCTTGGTGGGAGGTGGAGAGGTAGTGGTGTGTACATCTATGACCATCAGTGACAAGTTAAGCTTTTTTGTCTTTGGAAATACTGGATAAGATTGAATGGGGACAGGGATAAGCATGGTGCTGTTCGTACGAGTGAATAAGCATGATGCTGTTCGTACGAGTGAATATACATGGTGCTGTTCGTAGGAGTGAGTATACATGATGCTGTTCGTACGAGTGAATATACATGGTGCTGTTCGTACGAGTGAATATACATGATGCTGTTCGTAGGAGTGAGTATACATGATGCTGTTCGTAGGAGTGAGTATACATGATGCTGTTCGTACGAGTGAGTATACGTGGGGTGCTGTTCGTACGAGTGAATATACATGGTACTGTATCATTTAAGCCGCAAGAAAATTAAAAAAAAAAGGTTGCCTTTGACGCAAGATCAATCCTTGGTGCAAGTCAGGTTACAATACCCAGCTCATTTCTCCTTTATAGAATAATCTCAAAGGGAAGCTCGCAGTTCAATTAGATCCGAAATAAAAACAATTATATTCTACAAATCCAAGTGAATATGAACTATTTTTCCTTAAACAAATATAAAAATTTGCCATTACTCTTTATGTATGACAAATATAAATAATATATTGTTATCTATACAATTGTTACATTTATACAATTCATATTTACAGTACATATATAATACATATGGATTACATATTGCAAAAAATATATATATTGGTAATAGAAATATTATATATATATAATTTTTTTAATCAAATACAGTTAGTATTTCTAACACACATTGAGTTATGGTCATCTATTGTTTAGTTCTTCGTCCAGCTCAATCACTTGCGCTGGACGGAAGAGTGACAATTTCGCCTCTTGCAGGTCGGCGTTCAATCCCCCGACCGTTCAAGTGGTTAGGCACCATTCCTTTCCACCCTCCTTACCCACGTCCCATCCTAAATCCTTCTCCTGATCCCTCTCAAGAGCTATACAGCCGGAATAGGGTGGCGCCTTCTCCTGATAGTTCCCATCCTTTCCCTATAACATCCAGAGGTTTCAACAAGGTTTATGCAATGCAGGCAGCATATAAACAATGCAGGCAGCATATAAACAATGCAGACAGCATATAAACAATGCAGGCAGCAAGTAAAGCTGTTTGCTATGACAGCGAGAGATGTTGAGATATTTCTTACGAATTTCTTGACCAAACTATTCTTTAGAAGTGCTATATTATATATATTTTTTGGGGGTGGGGGTTACAGGTGGTTATTTTTTGTGTGAAGTTGTTATTGTTGTAAACAACGCAGTTGTTGTTTTTATTGATGGTTAAGGGTTCATTCTTATACGTCTTGGGAGAAGTAAAGGAGGTTCCTTGTTTGTTTTTATAACTCTCTCTCTTCTCTCTCTCTCTCTCTCTCTCTCTCTCTCTCTCTCTCTCTCTCTCTCTCTCTCTCTCTCTCTCCATCCCCTCCCGTCCTATCTACCTTACACTGCGTTTACCTTGCTCTCTTTTCTCCATCTCTTTTATTTGTGTTTAATCTCTTTCTCTTCTACTTTCCTGTATCTCCCTCCCTCCCTCCCCTACCGTACACCTTTATTCCATTCCTTTCTCTCTCCGACGTAAACAATTCCAATTTCGCACGTGAACAGCGTAGCCGTGTCCAATTGGTCGTCTGGTTCGCGCCTGGCGAGCCTCGAGTTAGCCAATCAGACTTTTCCAATTCCCTTTTCTTCACAGTGTAGCTTAAGAGTGGTTGAGTGAATGACCTCGTCTCAGTGTACTGAAGACACTGCAGTGGAATGAGGTGTTGATTTGTGCACTTGTGTTTGAGTGCGTTTGAGTGCGTTCAAACATCAATTTATCTTCAAATTTGATATGAACAAAGGCAACTGCAGAAGGCCTATTGGCCCATACGAGGCAGCTGATAAGAACCATAATATGTGTTAGAACCAGGCTGTAGCTGCTGGGCTCCACCTTATCAATTGTCTGTAGATTAAGGTAAAGATTATTGGTCTCTTTGCTCCTGCGTAATATTGATTAAATCTTTGGATGAACACGTTTTGGGGTCAGCCGCATCTTGGGCGAGGATCGGCTGAGGGCTGGTTGCTCTAAATGCTTTAATTTATTTACTGGAGATATGAATGATTGCTAACAGAACCAACACACACAATCTAACCTACCATAGCCCCCTTGTATACATAGAAGTCGAGTTTTTATTAATTTCTGCTTGAGAAAATGTCGCTTTTAATTATAAACAAAAATACGAATGTGCCTTTAGGGGCGAGAATAGTTTGTTTGAACACAGTTCTGAGAGTGGAGGCACTGTGTGCTCTGATTGTATTTATAATATAAAGGATCCTTGCACAATCTCTGCACCTCTGCGATTGTTGCTACAAGACTACAGAGGGGGAGCCGGTCGGCCGAGCGGACAGCACGCTGGATTTGTGATCCTGTGGTCCTGGGTTCGATCCCAGGCGCCGGCGAGAAATAATGGGCAGAGTTTCTTTCACCCTATGCCCCTGTTACCTAGCAGTAAAATAGGTACCTGGGTGTTAGTCAGCTGTCACGGGCAGCTTCCTGGGGGTGGAGGCCTGGTCGAGGACTGGGCCGCGGGGACACTAAAAGCCCCTAAATCATCTCAAGATAACCTCAAGAGGGTGGGTAAGGGCCTTGTTGGGCTGTTAGTGCCTATCCTTATGTAAATCTCGTCTCCAAAGTTATCCTCATCAAAGTACTCTTGATTTTCTTATGATCTCAAACTTGTGAAAGGACAAGAAGCTGTTAAAAATATCCCCGAATGTTGTTTTACGTTGATTAGTCGCATTCTTCAGTGCCAGTTTCCGCTGGCACTTGCCACGAGTAGCTGGCACTGAGGCTGGCGAGGGCCAACCCATGTGCGAATTAACGCCTAATGCCATGCTTACGGGAGCCGTTAAACTTAACTGCCGGTTAATGGTAAGAATTACCTGCCGTTTGGTTATAAACTTGATCGATGTTGCGTGTCCGTCACTTTCCTTGGAAGGAGCTTACAAGTCTTGTTCAATGTCGAGTTTGTTGTAGTTTCCCGTCATGAACATGTCTCAGATTTCTAGACTTAAGGAACATTAGGTATTGCTAGAGCTTTTCCTCCAAGTAAGTCTTGAAGAAAGAAGGCACTTGTTTCCTCCAAGTAAGTCTTGAAGAAAGAAGGCACTTGTTTCCTCCAAGTAAGTCTTGAAGAAAGAAGGATGCTGTTTTCAGAACAACGTTCCTCTTAGTGTAATTGGTAAAGCATCTTCAGCTTTATCTCAGATGATGATAAAGATGAAGCCACCCAAAAGGTGGCACGGGCATGAATAGCCCGTAAGTGGAGGCCCTTTGGAGCCATTACCAGTATCAATAGCCGATACTGGATATCTGTGGCTGGATGGGGATCTTTAAGGTCGCTTGTAGTTTTTATTTTCTGTAGGAGGTTTAATCGCCAGGTTGTAGTTTAATGTGTAAAGCGACGCTGTATATTTGACCTTTATCTCAGATTTTAGACACACACTTATATGTTGTGTTAACAACCCGCCAAACACACCGAAACTACGACGTTGGTACAACGTTCGAACAAGTTTTAACACCTCCTAACCAGTTATAACAACCAATATAGCAAGTTGTAACAACGTTCTAATACGTCATAAACACGTTAAGCCCAGATGTAACAACTTTATTACAAGTTGTAACAAGCGGAAAATAGAGAGAGTTTCGGTTTGTGTTTCCAGGGAATCAAGCTGACGATCCGGCGCGAGGCTGAAGCTGTTCTTCACAAAACACCTTGAGGTTACCTTTTGGTGCTTCCGGGGCTTAGCGTCCCCGCGGCCCGGTCGTCGACCAGACCTCCTGGTTGCCGGATTGATCAACTAGGCTGTTGGACGCGGCTGCTCGCAGCCTGATGTATGAGTCACAGCTTGGTTGATCAGGTATCCTGTGGAGGATACCTGATCCCATAATGTTCTGGTAGAACATAAATAAACTGAAGAGGATTTAATACGTGTTCCATTTTAAGTATTGCAAGGAATACCACCATTCCAGTTGACACCTCACGAGACTATTGTTCTATTTTACATATCACAAGAAACAACATTGGTATAATATACGTACTGAAGGATACTTCCTCGTTCCATATTACTTTACTCAAAGAATCAAACCTTCCCATTGTCATTCCTGATGGACAGGTTATCTGAACGGATGATATCTGAGCCTGAAGACTTAAAACTTCGAAGTAACTAAATGCCCACATGGACATTAGAAATAATTTTGTCAAGTGTCTGAGTAGTGAACAAAGGGAATGCACTATAGAGTGATATGGTGGAGGCTGACTCCATGCATACACAGTTTCAAAAGTAGATAACATAAGAGCCTAGATGGTTCAGCAACATTTATACCAGTTGACTGACGGTTGAGAGGTGGGACCAAAGAGCCAAATCTCAATCCCCTCAAGTGCACTTAGGGGAAGTACAATTAGACGAACACACACACACACACACACACACACACACACACACACACACACACACACACACACACACACAAGATAACCAAACGACATACGTCTCGAGCACAATCCTCCTTACTCAATTTCAACCAAAATATAACCTCGAGTCAATTATACCCGACCCTCTGTCTTCATTGTACCATTTACGAGGACAGAAGGAAGTATACAAGATAAATATGATAAAGAATACTCATCAATCTTGGGTATAGTGTTTAGGCTGGTGTGGAGTAAGCTCCCTAGCGGGGACCCCGCCACGACTCCTTCCAGACATTCCTGAGTGGGATTCATTTGTCAGAGGGACGAGTGACCGGAATGTTTAGTTCCGGACGGGGCATGAGGAGACGTCGGAAGGGGCGGGGGCGTGAGGAGACGTCGGAGGGGCGGGGGCGTGAGGAGACGTCGGAGGGGCGGGGGCGT